CATGGTTGAAACCATGAACATGGTTAGAATTAGCGTCAGTCAGTCACGATCGTCTATATACTGTATATTAGATGTCCCTGCATCTTTTGGTTCATCTGCAAGAGGCAGGGGTGCATTCTTACTCGATGCTGATGTCCCTCCACACCCTTCATTTTTAACCCTTTAAGTGCTGAATACTTCGTGCTCTTGGAAAAACGCAGCTTACGGAAATAAACGGGGAAAAATACTATTACCGAGTTTACTGAGGTGTTTCCATTACCACATTACATAATTGTCGAACTTTAATACGCATACCCACGACCACCTAAAGGGTTAAAAGAGCCGTCGGATGACCTAGCGGATCCACCACGGCTCGAAGCCAAGAACAAGAGAGCGAACGAACGAGACTCACGCGATGGGTTCCCTGCTGCCGCCCGCTCCGACCTGTCGCGGCACGTTGGAGCCCCGGACGAGGCTCGCCTCCATGTTGCAGTAGGGCCAGAGGGAATGCAGCGCGTCTCCGATCTTATCGGAGGGGTTGGGAACGTGGTTGAATCACTGGGCGGCCCGGTTTGTTGTACGACGAATGGACGAGCACTTTTTGCGAATTGAAATACAAAGAAACGAAGGACAGACCTCGCGACCATTTTCATGCACGTGTAAAAAAAAATTAAGGAATTCTACTCACCTATCTATGATAGACGTGAATTCACCGTCCAGAAAATGAAACCATTGCACGGTATAACCTTCAGACACTGACTCCAAATTCCTCCGGGAGTAAAATCTAAATAAGACTGTCGGGCTGACGAGCCAGGCAGGCCTGTGTTTCCCCACTCTGCAGGAGCAAGTTTTCCCCCCTCTCTTCAAGCCCCGGGCTTCAGTCGCCCCGTTTGAGGCATGAAGGGAAAGTGCTGCGTCACTTGCACATCGCAATTTCGCCTGTCGTCGGAATGAGTCTCTGACACGAGGAGAATAAGTCGCTGCAGTTGAGCATGCGAGCTGAATATAGGAAAAAATTGCTGTGAGACGAGATGCCACTTGTCTACCGACTACTTGGCATTTGGCCGACTCATCCACATCCCTTAAATAAGCTGGGCAAGCCCAGTTCAGCAGTGGGCCTCCTTTCTGTTCAGAGGACCCTCATCATGTCACCTATTTAGAACAAAATGCCATATCTTTCCGTTCCTCGACGATCACAACTCTCATTTCTGTTAGACTTTGCAAACAGACAAACGCTGCCCATAAAATGCTGATGGGGAAGACGGAGGGCTGTGCGCGGCTGGATTCTTCCACCACGGAGGCTACTGGGGAACTGACAGTTCTTGTTGCTGGCACGGCACCACGCACATGGCGAGTCGTACGCGCATGCGCATTGTGATCCAGATGGTGCACGGGTGCTCATGACTTTTCCGCCGTGACTAAATTTAAAATCCAAAAATCGAAATAAAAGCGCAGATTTTTTTAGTTACAAATTTGCCTCAAAACAGACTCAGTCTGTATCTTGTCCACATCTACTTGCTTGCTAATATTCACAGTGATCATGCCGATATTTTCTTAGTTACCGTCGGACGACCATTGTGGACACTGACGGACGGGACCATAAGTGGTCTCCTTTAGTGGGCCTCCTTTCAGGAAAGAAGGCTCGCTCGAAAGGGAACCCCAGAGGTGGAATGAGATGATTGAAGGATCAGAAGGCAAGAGGAATCCGTGATGGGTTCTAGATTCTTCTCAGGTTGGATTCTTTCTTGGGATCCATCTCTCCGAGTGCCATCGCCAAGAATGGATTTCTTTTTCATTCATCTTAAGAATTTTTTTTTTTTGAGGCTGTGCTGACCGTCGCAGACATTTCCCGGAGTCCATGCCTGGCTCCGGCAAGTTTCTTTCAAACCTGCAAAACCCCGGGCAGTGAAGCTCTTATTTGCTCGAATTTGCACTGTTTTTTTTTTTTTGTTGCAAAAATGGAGACTCGTCCGCTGCTTTTATCTTGTCAGGAATCATTACCGCACAATCGTTCATCGGGATGAAGTTTATTGAACTCCAGGCCCACTGATGGCAGCATTCCGGAGACGACGAATCCGCCACCGATGGCTCTTCCTCCATTTCCAAGCGACGTCGCCGACACCCCCGAAATCTCACGAAGCGACAAAATAAATCGGTATAAATTCTCGTTGCTATTCGGTACAATGCCTCGACCCCGAGAATTGCGTCCTTTACTTCAACGTTTCTCTTTTGTGCACGTTGCACGTTCCTTTTTTCTTCGTTTGGCTGGATTCTCGAATCGACGCCGATGCTTCTCGAATCCATACGGAACAATGGGACAATATTGCCAGTCATCTTTCGAGATTGGTCTCAAATTTCCTTTCTGAATACGCCGAGCCGAATTTTCGTTCACGAAGTTTCCCTCGGGCATTGTGACCGAGACGAAATCGATCCTAACTTTCTGCAATCCTACAGGCCCAACACCTCGATTTCAATGGACAGGTTTTACGGATGGGAGTTGATAAAAAAAATGGCGTTTCTGCGTCATCAATGCAACTCATGATGGACCGACAAAATCGGCCGAGGTCTCCCTCTTCTCCCTCTTTAATTTCCTCAGTTTTCTACCTCGTATTTTTCTTGCGTCATCTAGCTAAGGAGCCCTGCAATCAGGCTTGGAAGAACGATAAAGGTCAAGTCACTTTCATGTTTCGATGGCAAAATTTTATGAGGAATCTCCCTTTTTCTCCTTGGAATTGATCTAGGACTGGCGGCGGGAACAACAAGAGAAAGAAGAGCCGAAACGATTTTCTGTTGCCTTGTCTGGGAACCCGATTAATAAAACGCGTTCGCAGACATAAGTACTTTTTCAGTACCCACAGTTGTTATATCGAACGGGTTCAAAGAGGGTCGTTGAACGGACGAGATCGAAAAAAATTTAATCCCAGCAGCCGTGGCGATTGCGACGCACCACTACAGGGGAATGGGCCTGTCATGATAAATGGACCCCATACTTAATTCATGCAGCATTCGAGCTCGCACTCGGCGAAGGAGTCATTGCACCCGCGGATGAGAACTTCCCAGTCATTCCCCCCCGAGCCTTAAGGGATGAACCCGTCTCCATTTAGCTGATGGACTCTTTTCTTCCCGCCTTCCCTCCCGCGGCAACGACGAAGGGGCAGCGGGCCTTAAAAGTTCGGGGCCAGCAGCCACAGCGATCATCCAGTCTTCGCCGGAGTTCCTCGGAGGAAGTGCTCTCGTCCGCTTGCTGCAATGGCTCTGGTGAGTTCTCGTGTTTGCTCTTTCTTCTAGAGGGGATTGGAAGGTCCGTTCAGGAAGCTGAATCCGTGCACGGCCGTTGGGGAAAGTTCTGCACGATCTTCGAAGAAGGGATGAACATTTGGGCCAGGTTTTTTTATACTTAAGCAGTACCTTAAACAGTACAGTTGAGTTCATCCTTTCAATACCGAATGATTTCCTGTCCGCTTTTCTAATTTTAATTTTTTTTTTGCATAAAACCATCCTAAAATCACCAATTACGAAAATCAACCTCTATTCTCGATATTTTCCACGACAGTATCAGCTATAATTAGGAAACTAATCGGTTTCCATATTTAGATGTAAAAGGACAGTCTGAGTGGATTCCCTGGTTCCGAACGAATGCTTCATTAATGAATTTATGCGCGAAATGTAACATGCTTAAAAACCGTTTTCAGTCCCCGTCCCCAATTAAGCACGAGTTGAGCGAAAACGTTAAGGTACCATTAGAAATGAAAAGACCTCTACCGAGAGGGAAGTTGAATGAGTTTGCTAATGAATTAACTCGCCCTTTAAGAGTGAGAATCTGTTAAAGAATCACATTCAGGCCGGATTCTTCTCCCTTTTAGTCGCTTAGGGACTTATAATTGCCTCTTTTAAGTAGGCGTGACTCTATAACAGGTTCTTACTTTGAAGCGATACAATAAGGCAATTTCATAACATTTAGCAAACTCATTCAGCACCGTTCTTAGCTCAAGGCCTTTTTTTGTTTAACGGGTCCTTTGGTGAAATGACAATACATGACTCATTAATTAATTTGTCTCACTCTTATAACCGAGTTTTTCCCTCACTATCTTTTTAAACCCCATTGACGACGATATCCTGCCATGCATATGAAATCGCGAAATTAGTGGTCTTAATGGCACTTTAAAGGTAAAGGAGAATTGTGATCACAGGAATAATCTTTAATTTTAATCTTAACTCTCAATTATAACAAATTCTCTTGGCAGATTCGCTTGACATGGCTATTGATAGCCTGGCTGTGCTCGACGGAGGCCTTGAAGTCCGACAGACCACAATCCTTCAGCGGGTCAGTCATAAAGAGATTCATTTTTTCGATTCGGTTTTCCCCAAATAATTGCAGTCCGTGTTGCATATTTGCTTTAGGAGTGCAAAGGGGAATTCCAGAGGAAGTAAACAGCTGTTCCCGTACAGTCCGTACGACGCGGCCTATTTCAGCCGCTACGACCCCATTCCCTATGCCTACAGCCCCTATTCCTACATACGCTCCCCGTACCCATTCTCCGCGTCGTCGTACCCGCCGTACCAGCCGTACCAGACATATCAGTCGGGATATCAGCCGGCACATCAGCCGGCGTTCGATTCTCCATCGCCATCAAACTCGCCCATGATCGATGTGGAAAAGCTGCCGGTCTCCCTCCGGACGGGGATGCCAGTGTCCAAGATGGAACTGCCGACGGGAGCCGATGGAGAGCTGGAGGAGTACCAGATCATCCCCTTCGAGGGAGCCAGTACACCTCAAAGCAGGACTCTCTTCCTTCTCCCGGTGAAGACAGCTTTCATTCAAACACTTACTGGCGCCAAACCCGCAATCTCCTCCTTCTTCTCAGCCTTGGTCGGTTTCGGAGGGCGCTGACGGGTGTCATCAACCTTCGTTATATGCTGCCAGAGTGCAAAGCTAATCTGCAGTGCTAATCCGAGCTTCAGCTCCCTCAAAAGTTCAATATCACGAGTTCAATAAAACATGACAATGAGAGACTCCCGGATTTCGTGGATTACAGAGTATTTATTCGGAATTGAGACGAGGGAAAGATTAAAAAGAAAACGGGAATACACCGTTCTAAGACTGAACGAAGAGCGAAGGAGAAGGAGGTATGGAGAAGCCATTAAGAACGAGATTTAAGGGATGTGGAGGCACGCCTCGGGGATCACAGCCATCGTGGAGAAATGAACCTCTTTGTTCAGCATCTCCTCCACGATTCCGTGATGGGCTTTCTTCAGTAGCTCGGTCGGGTCACCCCTCACGCAATGGAATCCGACCTGTAATCAACGTGCCATCATTGCTCAGGGCACAAGGGCATTAACAATCGGTCGGTTGATTGGAAGGGGGAGGGGGAAGAGCAGGTTAGTGACCCATCCTTCTTGCAGAGAATGTCTCCTTCGGTACTGTTTCCCATATATTCGGACGCATTCTCGATGCAAATGTGGTGCATTTTTACTGCGGTCGCGAGTCTAGTCAGCCGCCACAAGCCCAGGACAGGGACAGGAGAGGATTGAAGGAGGGCTACAACAATTACACACTCAAGTCAACTGAATTTTAGAGCGAATGCACCATTAACAGTTATCTCACAAACTGACAGAAACATTTATAGATTATAACAGGGGGTATACATTGATTTGCATATGAATCGCACCACATTTAACATGGGCTTCATAGGCTTAAAATCAAATATAAACTGATTAAATTATCTCACCTCTCGCGATGCATCGTAGAAGGAACAATGTTGAATGCAATAAGTGTTACGACTTTACTTGCAAATCTCTGTAGGATAAAATTGCATTCTCACCTCTTTGGTCAAGATCCTAGAGGGTCTGCATGAGAGAGAGCACTCTGGCAGTGGTTTGACAGAGAAGCAGGTCTCATCTCCTCTGGGTACGACCTTCGTCAGGTATCGTGTGCAAGAGGAAGAAGAAGAGGAAGAGGATAATCCATGGCGTGCTACCTCGTGGTAGCTTCCCATCGGATGATAGGTGTCGGCATGCAAGCACTTGTGCTCTTCCGGAATGATGTGTTTCACCCGAGGATGGACACTGCATCCACTCTCCTTGATGGCATAGGTCTGAGCGAAGGCCATTGGGTGAACCATCACGCAGTCCCTAGGCGTCTTGAATTCGGCAACCTTCTCTCCATTGAAGTCACCACAGAGACCACACATTCGGCCTCGGTAGATGTTGGACACCTGTAGAGATATCCTTTTCCTCCTTCAAAAGTTCTCTACAAACATGAAGGTGTCGTTCAATAGAGTAAGAATGTGGAAAAACCCACCTCGACCTTGATCCTCTCGCCGTCGGTCACGACCTTGACTCCATAGAGAGGAGATTCGACCTCGATTTCGTGGTTCTTGTACTTAATGAATTCCAGGACCTTTTTGTGAGGAGATCCGGAGCTCGTAATGACCTTCTTCTCCGTGGGGGAGAGATGGATCGGTTGTCCGTCAAGAAGGACTTGGATTTCTGGCACGGAACCAGAGACAGCGGAGACTGGAGACACTGGCTTAATGAGTACCTTGTGGGGTCCCACCAGAACCTTAATCACCTGTGATGTCAATGAGATAATGGGATACAAGTTAAATGAATTTCACACAACACGTCGACATTCAAAGTAAAGACAGGTGGCAAAGCAATGACTCACCTTGCCGGTGGAGGAAGACTCCTTAGCCAGGACAGCAACTGGAGCCTCCTTGGAGCAATCCTTAGCCAGAAGATGCCAGCACTCACCCAGGGGGTACTTGTAGGTCACGTTGTCGAAAGTCCTCACGACCTCGCTCTCCAACTTGCACTCGGCTATCATCGCGAAGGAGACCTCAAATAAAAACACTGGAGAGAGATGAGTAACTGGTATACTTTAAAAATTCCCTTACGGATATATGTGTGGCCAAAGATTCGGTTAAGGGACTTCCTGACCAGTTCCTGCTTGGCACTCAGAGGGAATACGATTTCAGCAGCAGGGGAGACCTTGATGGTCTTGAAGTAAGTGTTCTCATGGGGTTTGAGAAGGAAGACATCCAAGACGGGGTACGGGTGAGAAGACATGGGAGGAAGGACCTTGAAGACGACCTTCACCTTGTTGCTGGGGTTAGTAACGCCCACTCTTCGGTTCGTCATGTGTGGGTACAGCATATACTTGATGAAGTCATCCACGTGAGAAGTGAAGTTCTTGACGTAGAAGGGAACGTTCTCCTCGGTGATATCCAGGATGTAGCTGTTGAGGGTGGTGGCCTGGATTCGGGCCTTCTTGCACACGGGGCTGTATTCGATTCCTCGGCTCTCGTCTTCCCTGCAGCGATGGCTCTCATAGCTCTCTTCGGCATGCAGTCTTTGCTTCTCGGTCCTCGTCATCACGATCTGCAATCGGAATTGACGAATGAACGTCCCATTTGACGTTTTGCTTTAGGATTCCACTCGGAACATGATCCTGATTTTCCCCGGGGCGGCGGACTCACCCTGGTGTTGATGGCATGTTGGCATTCCTCACCGAATCGGAAGTGGAGGTTACCAAGAGTGGTCATTTCGGATTGGAGCAGGGCCTGTCTCTCGGTGCTTGGTGGGAAGTTGGGATACTGGAACTTGGAATTGATGCAGATCTTGTAAGGAGTGGATTCGTATCCTGGGAGGGGTTCTCTCTCCATCAGAACGCTCAACTTCTCGCGGATGTTGGTCTTGGAGGTGGCGTAGATGACGGATGCCCTATATCTCCTCGGGACTCGACCGACCAGTTCAACCTCAGCGTGGAGCTGATGAACCTTTCCACCTATCCCAATTCATGCATTCTCACCACATCAAATTCCGTACACTCAGCCGAAAAAAAAATAAGTAAGCGAGGGTGACTTCACTTACTCTCAACATCAATCTCCTCGTATTTCAGAGGAATGTAGGATCTGCTGGATCTCAGGCTTCTGATGGAGTCGTAGGAAGTGTAGCAAGGAGACTCTGAGTCCTGGCATTCAGTCAGTTTGGACCATGGGTTGTTGAAGTACTCCTGAATGTCTTCGGAGTACTTGTTGTAGTACTTGGATGGGTATTTGTACTTGATCCTCTCCAGTTCTATTTCTGGTTCATTACTGAAGATCTTGTATTCATTTTTCGACGTTGCTAGAAAGAAAACTCCGGATGAAATTGAGCGATTCATATGTTTCTGTTTCTCGAGTCTGTTTTACTCCTCCAGTAGAAGCAGGCGTTCATGATGATACGCTGCGGAAAGTATAATATTTGGAAACCTCTGACCCTGAGAATATATCCATTGTCCTGTGTATGGTATTTGAAGGATTTGAATCATCACCATCATTTCTATCAAGATATAGGAATGCGGAGTAATTTCTAGATTTCGCTTGAATCTTTTGGATGACTGTTAGCCGGGCGTCCAAAGCGCCGCGCAAGTATTTTGAAAGAACCTAAGTAATCGATTTCGGACTCGAGTCTGTCCTGTTTCGGCACCGTTGAACGCTGACATGAAAGTTCAAAAAGCGAGACTCACTCAGGGCGACGTGACCCCGAATGGCCTCGGTCTCCATACTGGAAGCATCGACGGAGAGCTTGAACTCGAAAGGCCTGAGGCTGGAAGGGAGGATGACGGGCCAGGGCAGGACCTGGCTGGGGGTCAGGGGGTTGTGACTCTTCAGTATTTCGTACCAGCCGTAGTAGTCGCTGAAGGGGGTGTCTGTCACGTGCATGAACTTCAGGGGGATCCCGAAGCTCTTCTTTCCGAACACGGTCTCGTACTATGGGGGAGGGGAAATTGGAATTGAATTATGAGAACGTGTCTCATCCCACACGGGAAGGCTTTTGTCAAATTTCTGTCAGCCTCGTGCCTCGCATGGCCATCTATTCCCTGGCAGATGGACACGAAAAACATTTTTTCACCGCCGAAATTATGAAACACATGCACCCTATATACGGATGGAGGGCATGCGAGGTTTCTGCTCTGAGCACATGTGCGTGTCATCCGGCTGAGTTTCGTCGCGTGAACGGATAGAAATATGGGGCACTTGCATTACATGACTCCATTTTTTTTTTCAAAATTCGAAGTTGGTGAAAAATGAATGGCGCAAACAGGGATATATGAACAGTTGTTGACTCATAAATCGTCACATAGTGATAAATATGCAGCAATGTAACATTGTTACAAAACTGCATTCATAAAAAGAAACTAAAATTGTCCTCGTTCTGTCTTACCAGTGTGCCTCGCCGCGTTAACAATACTCAACTGTGCTAAAGCAATGCAATCTATAAGGCCGTAACTAGGGAAAATTCCAAACGTCTTTTACTTCGGTCCTGTTCAGATTACGAAACTAGATTTCAGTCAACAACGAGGCGATTTACGTGTCAAGCAAATATACATGAGCTGACATAGTTACCGAAAGTGTACGATCGGCAGACAGTCAATGTTAGCACACCAGCTGAAAAAGGGACGCATGAGGGTCGATTTGGGATAGGGGATACAAATTTTGAAGTGTAACTCGCCATTTTTGTAATTATTGCAATTCAAGCATTTAACGAGACTGCTATGTTCACTTCATCCTGCACATCAGTTCACAATGCTTCATCAAACACGCAATTCAACTGCTTTCCCAAACAGTAATCGGTGTAACACCCAGGAAATAAGTTCCGCTTCGCCATTCCCTCCCGGTAATCTCCGGGAGGGTAATAATGCCCTGCCGGAATTGTCTCTTTCACAGCTGGAGGCGAGCTCGGAACGTGTTAGAAGCTGACATGAAACGATACGGGATTCTCACCACTCGAGGCTTGGGTTGGGTGCGAATGAACTTGTAAGACTGGATCTGGGTGAGTGGGCGGAAGTCCAGCGTGTCCTTGATGGCCGTGAAGGGCCGGGCATGGAAGTGCAGGAGGTCCATCCGGGACGGCATTCGCCCCGTGGTCCCACCCACCTTCGGTCAAGGGGGAAAAAAATAATGAATGGTCCTGTCCCGAGACTCATCATTTTGGGAACGATCGCCGAGGGAAAAAAAGGATTCTAGAGAAATGCATCACCTGGAAGGAAAGCTTGGAATCGGAGAAGTCGTAGTCCACTTGGGCCTTAAAGGGCACGGCAGCCAGGATGTGAGCGTTGTATCCAGAGATTAAGAGCTTCTTCGTCAGAGGGCACACGATTCCGGCTTCGATCACGTGATTGTAACTCAACCTGAAGGGCAATTAAGTACTTCCGAATTTGGATATACCGGGTGAATCCATTCACAAGTGATTAATGTTTTTGAAAGCACTCCGTATGCCCTGAAGTCTTGTTTCCTTGCTCCTTGGAGCGTGAATTCACACGATTCTTATTCTACTTGGTACGGATTTCTGTCATCATGTTTACTTGAGGGAGGGGGGGGGGGGGCGTGTTACTGGTAGCGTGGGACGAGCTAGTTGGGATGAGACTGAAAAATGTTTCTTAACATGCCTGATCGATGACCGTTCGTCTCGCCTATTCGCAGTCAGTGCTGAGTCTGATATGACAATTGGAGCCTCACGTGCCAGCGGAGAGGGTCACTGGACACGGGAGCCTCCAACCAATCCTTTCTAGTTCGCTCTGCGGCGGTACAGCAAGCCGGTAAACGGTGCAAGCATTGTTAGGCGTGAATGGTCATAGAGTGGAATGACGTCATGCTGCCTCAACCACATCCTGCCGAGGATTTCGAGGCATATGGATTAGCTCCTTCTCGTTCATTCGCGGGAGGGGTAGATGTTAAGCGCTGAAGAGGACGGTTTAATGTACGGGCTCTGTGCGTTTATGCGGCTCCATCGAGATTTCAACGGTCATTGTTGTACAGGGCGGAAAATGGAAGAAACGCTTTGCTTCACCATCGACCGTATGCCCTGCGAAATACCCGCAGGCTGACGACCACTTAGTGCTAATGCACGGAGTCCTTGCAAGACCATCAGCCTTCCAAAGGAGTGTTAGCATCTCGATAGTGACCCTTATCCATTTCTTGCTCCTCCCTTGTAAGGATTTGCATGTGATTTGCACTCTCAACCGGAAGGAAAAAACACGGATCGGAATTTCAGACTGCATCGGGCTCCGCTCGCACTCTCGAGGAGCGGCGCTCGTGCCTCGAAGTTCCTCATCTGAGGCAACTGCAGTCCGTGAGGACGAGAATGACGATCAAAGACCCTGCGATAGGGGACTTTGACCCCTTAACTCGAAGGATTGCCCGAAGAATCAAGAAAGGTCATCGACCGATAAGGAATTCGCTTTCCACCCTACTGAATGAATAATTTTTGAGATAGAGTGGCAGATATACTGTAGAGGATGGGAAAAAATAACCCTCGAGGAAGAGAATAACTGACATGGGCTTGAGGTCGGCAGAGACATGAACCCGAGACGGAGGGATCCTGGCCCCATCCACGCGGACCTGCACCCGACCCCTGAGGGAGACGAGGAGGGGAGCCTTCATGCAGAAGAACACGGGGAGACCCGCGACCGAGGGGAGGATCACGATCGTGTCGTCCAGGGGAAGGGTCTTCTGGTAGTTCACCTCCATTCCCTCTGAGATGCTCAGTCCGTTCATCTTCAGGGTTCCTGATGGAGGGGAATGAAAGAGAGAATATTCCTGTGCTTAGTCTTCCGGGGGAGGGGGCGAGGGGGGGGGGGGGGCAATTGAGAAGTAGGCAAGCATTCACCTAGCCACTTCTGCTGTGAGAATGTTCTTTGCACGCACGACTTTTCATGCTCACTTCAACGTTCATTGTAGCTTTTTACCATAGAATTTTTCTAACGGGAAGTCTTATTGCAATTGGGTAGAAGGACGTCGATGCTAAATTTCGTCGTAAAACTTTCAGCATTTTTCGGTAATTTTTTAAAAGCAAGTACTACAATTGAAACAGACCATACCAATGAGCTTGGCTTATCCAACGAACAGGTACAAACGGAATTCCTATTTTTCAGGTTACAGTATCATGTTACAATACAATTATGGCAAATTTCAACGCCAAATTCTTGAAATTATGCTATACCACCCGCTCTTGCATAAATCAAACGCGGAGGGAAAAAAAGAAAGGATTTCCGTGCCCAATGAGATATCAGAACGCGTACTGCAGAGCTGGGGAATCAGTGATCTTTCATTAATGCAAAAAAATCTGGTTATTCTTGTCATCTTGATACGGGGGATGTCTATGGAATCTCAATTTCTGAAGAAAAAGGCTCCTCTTCATTTGTTAAAGAAATATGGCATTTTGACGAGTCATCATCATCATTATCATCATCATCATCATCATGATCGTCATCCGGCATGGCCTCCGGTGCGCTTCAGCCCCACTCGCTCGCACGATCTCCACAGTTGCACGATGGGAAACGCGTCCACGGCTACCTACCTTACCTGTTGCCTTGTCACAAGCAGACTTGGAATAAAGAGGCTGAAGAACCCCTTCTGGCTGAAGGAGGACTACCTCGACTCACCTTCTTCCCCCTCTTACATACATACCAACTCAATGTTGATCCTACATCCTGGCTATTGCGTCTTTGAACCTTTTACAGTACAATCAATGCGACTTTTTTTGGACGGCGGTCAACTAGGGTTGCCACAGAAATACAGACAGATCGTGACACTATTTTGTAGCCGACCAACCAAACACGCGTTGGAAACCTACAGAGATAATTTTTTTTCTTCTAAATATCAGAAAAAAATGTTTTATTACCCTCTTCGAAAAGTTGGATGAGGGTCTGGCGATCCAATGGGAAGATCCTTTCCATGCCCCCGAACATCTTCATCCAAACGGAGCTCCTGAGGGGCTCGTCCTTCCTCGTCTCGACCGTCAACGCTTCCCTCAGTCGTTCCAGGCTGATCTCCCCGCTGAAAGACCAAAGCGACGTCACAAAAAGGAAACCCTCAAGGAGCGGAGACCGAATCGGATCATTGCCTGAGAATATCCCGTTTCGCGCGGGAGAGGGCCTCGACCACGGATTCCCTCTCGCTCTCGGGTCCGAAGAACCTGTTGATGATCCCCTGCACTCCCTGCAGTTGCACTCCCATCTACAGGAATTCATCGCCCAATGATGGCCTTACGTTTCTTTCAAACTCCCGGACACGAGAAACCAAGTTCGTTAAGACGAAAATTACCTCGAACGGATGGCCTTCGAATCCTCCAAAGTGATTGGTGAGCCGGATGTAGAAGTCCCTGGGCAGGAGAGACCGGGTGGAGCCGATCCAGGAAGTCTGGAACGAGGATCCGGATCCGAGTTGCTCGATGTACTTCCAAATCAACGTGTTGTGGGAATATTGGAGACCCAGGTTGAAGGGTTTGGCCAGGGGAAGGGCCAGCTGTGCGTATCGAGACCTGGAGAGAAAAAAGAATTTAAGCAGGCCATTGTGAATAACGAAACGTGGATCCTCTTTAACATCTCCTTTAGTAGTTGAGAAATGAATCTGCTCATTAAATTGCAGCCCAAATCACAAGTCTACCGTTGCACCCCAGATGTTCAAAATTTCCCTCGTCAATATAGAGCGAGAAGGAGAAAGACATTGGATTGTCTGCGGTGAAAAGACTAACTAGATCAATGAGATTCGTAATCGGGCACAATAGGATAACTTGAGGGAATATGACCACTGAGGTAATATGGTCCTTCACAATGAATCTCTTAGCAAAATGAATAATTAGTTTGGGCGAATCTTGAAAATACTTCTATCGAAGAGTACATGCAATTTTCGAAATGTTTAGACCTGTTCATTGATCCAGTTCTCACAGGAATTAGGGATGCATTGATGTCTTGAAAGTCGCATGCATTAGATTTTTTAAATTATCAACTCATGGTCCTGAAACTAATATTGGCCTTGAGCCACTTGGGCGTATATTTCCTAATAGCAGAATGGATACAGAAGCCATTTGTTCAAAGTTATTCTTTGGTCCCTCCAGAATGCTTGTGGAAGTGCTAGCCCCTTCACTTGCGGTATATAGACAGTGTTGTCAATTTTGTCATGCAAGCCCATGTGGGGGAATATGACCATCTCGATTTGGGGTAATGTGGATACATCCTTCATTTTATGGTAGCACCGCACTGAACTATTGGCAGTGTCCCTTTCATGTGGGACCTCAGGCAGCAAAAGACCATGACATGGCTTCCTCTGGATATATGGATAGAGGAACTATTGTACTTTTGGACGAAATATGCAGTTCATGAGGAGGCGGTGCATGAGAATATGCATATGCACCATCTCCTGGACGTCCACTTGACATACTCCATACATTTTTGCTGCGCGAAATTTGAATGAAAGTAAATATCCCTCGTACAAAAGGTTAAAATGGAATTCTGTGATTTTTTGGCAATATTTATGCCTGCATGCAAAAACTGCGCAACGTTTTTCCTGCAATAAAAGACCTTTTATTTCACACTCTTAGTGCATCTTCACTCTGATCTATGTTTGATCCCTCTTATTACACCCACAATTCGTAGATACAGTCTCCCAATCATGTGCAATGCTACTTAAAGCAAAAAGCGCTGCAATTCTGCTTTCTGCAGCAGGTCCTCGATTCAGGTAATGACGTCGACTTCTTTGTTTGTCCTCAATGCAATTAATGTGATTCTTTTTCAACTGGTGAGCCTCATTTATTACGTTTCAAGATGCTCAGCATGTTCCACCATGTTTCACACGTACCTCAAAAACCTTAAGTTGTTTTTTGAGAAATGGCTATATTCCCCCAACAATAGGGGTAATATGGTCACTTGGGATCAACTTGGAAATGATCCAAAGGCGCAACATCCATGGTTTTTTTTTCATGCGCCTTGCTGGGAGTGGAATTTGGGAGATATCAATCAATATTTTAGAAACATTCCAAAAGTCAAATTTGACCTTGGTGGGCCGCTATGATCAGGTTTCATTTTTTAGGGCCATGTTCCCCCAAATTACCTTATGATTTCACTTCATTCATTATTTCCCTGTTTTTTTTTCTGATTTTAGAGTATAAAGTTGAAAACTCATCATGTAATATTGGTGCTACTTCACCATCATTCAAACTAACAACGAAGGACGCGATGATAAATTATTCCCCGCCATTGATAAAATTAATATTTCGATATCGCAGGAATAAAAAGCTCACATGTTGTAGTGGAAGGGATAGGAAGAGTTGGCCAGGTTGGCGAGGGTGGAGTAAACGAAAGAGCCGACTTGTTGAGACGGCTCGAACCAGGTTCCGGTGGCAACCCCCGTGAAGAAGACCGCCGGGGGCTGGCACTTGACCAAGACGATGAACGCGGCCGTTCGCACTCCGTAGTGTTCCCGGAGGTCGTGGAACAGCGGCTTCAGCACGCTGAAGACAACTGATGGGTACTTGTCGGCGACGCGGCTGAGGGCGAAGATGGCCTTGCTGCGAACGGCCGGGTCTCGGGTGACGAGTCCATAGATGAAGGGCTTCACGATCTTCACGGCGTACGGGTGGCCAGTGTTGCCGATGGCCTGAACCAGGACGATCTGGGAAAGCAACGCACACAAACGATGTACCTTTCAGCACCGAGTCCAGACCGGAAATGAAGACACCGCATTTCTTCGAGAGTTCCAGACTGACCTCCTTCCATGGTTCGGGAGAGCTGCGGATCTCCTGTTCGAGGAAGGGGAGATAAGCCTCGGTGATGAGGGGGCTGTCAGGAGAGCAGAATCGGGAAGAAGAGATGGGAAGACCCTTGCGGGTGATGGGGTAGTTGGAGATTCGGGTCTTGGGGTTCATGCAAGCTTTCTTGATCAGGTTGCTCACTGTCAACAGGGCAGTGATGTACACTTGTCTGCACTCGTGAGGCTGAGAATGGGGCTTGATCACGGGGCTCTTGGCCAAGCTCTGAACGTGAGAGAAGTGAGGCACGAGGGAGTTGATGAGTGAGAAAAGCTAGTAGAGAAAAATTTCAGGGAGAAAAAACGGCCCGAAGGACTAACAATGAGTTCTCTCATGACGGAGACGGTGGGGACCTTGATGGAGGCAGGAAGGACCATGAGGAGCTCGGCAGCGGTTTCTCCGGTCACCTCTTTCCTCAAGATCAATTCCTTGATCAATTTCACGGCTGGGCTCGTACCACTCATGGCAACAGCATCCAAAAACAGGGTCCTGAAATGGGGATGAAATATGGATTTAAAAAGGAATTTGCATTTCTTCCATCGTCCATCGAACCAAGAGCCGATGAGCGATCGACAGAAACCCACTTGATGGTCTTCTTGGAATGGGGGCTGGTGACAGGAGCGGAGCTGATGAGTTCTTCGTAAAGTTCCTTCATTTCCCTGTAAGGCAAGAGGCTAAGGGCCTTGGAAACCTGGAGGACCTTCAGAGAAGTCTCCTTGGCAGCGAGGTTCTCAAAGGTCTCGATTTCGGTCTCGACTTCGGTCAAGAGGTGCTTGATCTGGATTCCAAAAACAGAGATGGTTACTTCGATTAAATCTTTTTCGTTTTTCAAATTCAGATGGATCTAGAACGGAAAACCAACCTGAGACTTGAGCTTTCCGATCTTGGGTTCCATGGAGGAGCTGCTGGAGTAGTTGTAAAAGAAGTAACTGTGAGGGTTGTACATGTGCATTTCGTCGATGTACTCTTCCTCGGTGAGGTTGTATCGGCCGAGATACTCGTATTCTCTCTGGAATTCCTCACGGTATCCCTTGTATTTCTGGCGGTGTTCCCTTTCGTATTTCTCTGGATATTCCTCAGAGAAGGAAGGGTTACTTGATCGGTAGGGGTATTCCTCTTCGTTGTAGTGCTTAAAGTGGGACTTTTCGTCGATGCTTCTCTCGTATCGCTTATGATGGTGGCTCTCGGAACGGTACTCCTTGTCGTAAGAGGATCTCCTGGCGTAGGGAATTTCAGGATCGTAGTCGGGATCGGTGGGTTCCCCCTTCATTTCTTTGAGCAGTTCGTATCGGGAATTGGGGAAACGGAAGAGGAGGGAAGTGGGACGAAGTGAGACAGGAACCGGGATTTGGGAACTGATTGACGACATCTTCTCCAGCACCAGCGTTTGGCTGCAACGTCATTTCAGACTCCGCTTGAAATACGGATTTCAATGGAAAATATTATCGATGCTCGAACTCTGCTCACTTGGTGACGACCCAGAGTTTCTCGGTCTTGGTGGCGAAGGGCTTGACGAGGAGTTCTCCCTCCGTCCACACTCTCTCGATCTTGAAGTTTTGCCTTTCCCCACGGATCAGGTATCTCGACACGGAGGTGCGCTGCGTATGAAAACCAGGACAATTGGCATTGGATCCACTCGGAATACAATCGATGTTGGCCGGACGCTGGGAAAGCGTGGAAGGATCGTGTACGTTGTAGTCAATACTGGTCAAATGTATGGATATAGAACAACGTTTGACGGGAGGGGGAGAAGCATGACGAGGCAAGGGCGATTTGGCTCTCACCCAATGGAGCGGAGTAGCTGAAGGGGACGCAAAATTCGACCATTTCATTGATCATTCTTTAATTAAAAGACTAAGGTTTGCCTGAAGTAACGAGAGCCATGCATTCTTCAAAAACCACTCCAGGAATTCATGGATAGGACGTTTCAACTGCTGCGTTTGCAAGACAGACCACGGCCGAGGATTCAAATACTGAGGCTGGTACTCAGTCCGTTCAATATAAATTTTGCTTTTAGCTCATATTTACAAAAAGATTACACTAGGGGTGTCAATGCTAGGTCAAATAGAGCTGAAGAGAACCCGGTTTATTTGGAGGGAAAATGAAGTGGGCTACGTGCTACTATAACGGTTGCATGTGACCCTACGTTGGCCCAGCGTCCCCTTTGGCGTGAGCCAGCACTAATGACAAGCAATGAGTCCATGTTTACAGAGGTTGGACGACAATATTGGGCCAACGATCGCGCCACCGAAAATGTTATCTAGGCAGCTTGGCCTTGGCCCTTCGAGAAAACAGACATGCGAAGTTACCGAGGTGAATTCCTTGCACTGAGCATCAGCCGCGCTGCAGGGGAAAGGAGAGACATCCACGAAGGAGTTGTGGGCGAAGAAAGGCTTTCGGTTGCATTCATCGTAGTTGCGGATCTTGGTGACGATCCAGGCCTTGCCCTCTTCCGTTTCCGTTCGGATCCTCCTCCATTCCTCTGGCATGGAAAGCTCTTCCAAGTTGGCCAAGTGTTCTGGCAGAGGAGCGATCGTGTAGGTGGTCTTGCACTCTCCTCCGATCGAGTCCTGCCGCCACATTTCAAGAACCGTTTTTTACTCATGTTTCACTTTTTCATTTCATTTCCCGAAAACGAGAAAGGGATTCCAAAGGTATAATACGTGAAGGAAGGAGAGACTGAAATAAGGAACGGACCTCCTCGACGGTGTAGAAATTGTGAGCCGGGACACCAGAGGTAATGGTATTGAGGAGTCGATACTCAGAGCTAGAATACGGAACGTCGCGGATCTTGAAAGGAGTCAAGTTGACCTTAGCCATATTCAACGTCAACTGAGAGGCGATGGCCCTCTTGATGTCGGCACTCCATTCTGGTTCTTCGGCAGAGACTTCCAACGATTGCACGACTCCGGATTTCAGGATGATCTTGAACGGGAGATGCAGAGGCTCCTGGGTTTCACCCAGAGGAGAATAAGAGATGGGGATCTCTTCCCTCCATGGCATCTTCATCTCACCGTTCACCGAACCCACCTCGATGCCACTCAGCTATACAGCGAGACCCGAACATCCGACAACCGTGAATATGACCGGCGCATCCAAGTAAAACCCCGAAAGAGGCGGCGACTTGCCTTGGCTAAGATGACCGAGGGGCTTTCGACCTGAAGACGAAGGATGCCTTTGATCCCCAAGCCTGCATATTGAGGCTTGAGTCCCGGGATCCCCGTCACCGCCCTGCTCCGGTACTTGTACACATACTCACGCCCCGGCGTGAAAGCTGGGCGTGAAACGGGAAACACAGACAACGGTATTGCACTGAAAGACTCTCGTGGTAGGGCCAAAGGAAGAACTCGACTCACCGTATTCCGAAGCGACGAAGCCCACTGCAAAAGGAAACGAAACACATTATATCATTGGCATATTGTATTACTGAACACGATGATGGTGTCATATCAATGACTTATCCTAATTTCGCGAATTAGAAGGCATTGTGATTGCGATTCTCAGCATTAAAAATTTATATAAAATATGGAAATAGAAAAAAGTTTTTTCAAATGGAGATGGTGCTCCACTTTGAATCCTTTCCCGAATGGGTGCCCACAAATTATGGATGCATTTTCAGAAAAGCATAAAATCTGAACGAGAAGTTTCATGACACGACCACACCGGAAAAGGTATAGTCTGTCTTGTGGTATGAAGCTACCAGAATGTGTCGCTAGCGTGCATAAGCGATTCAGAACAATGTTTGGGAAGAAGCATACAGCACGGAAAGCCATTTATAGTTGGCATAAATGGTAGCACTAAACGACTGCGTGCCTTGATGAAATCGATCCGGAACAGAAAGCGATTCCACGACGATTGCCCGGAATTCGAACTTCCCAAAGCGCTCGGCTCTTTTCGTGCTATCTGGACGCCGCAGTTCGTCTCGAGCAGGGGTGCACAACATACGGCCCGCGGCCAGCCATGACTGGTTGCGATGTAAGTGCTACTACGCACTGTAAAAAATAACGGTTCTGGAGTGAAACTTTTATAGAACCATTTTAGTGGATGAGATGAAACAGATTCCTGGTGTTACAACGATCTGAGGGCGTTGACAGGGCAGATTATGAACGCTACTCCCTAGGACATTCGCACGATCACTCCAACCAGTAACTATTACGCAGATTTAGTGGAAAACGGCTCTACTCTGTAAAGTTCAAGGTTCGGATTGGTACCATTTTTGGTGAACCTTTTGTAGAACCATCTGCGCGGAATCAAGGCTATACGAGCTGAAATTGGTTAATTCCTGGAGTTATTATTATCTGAGGGCAGATAATCAATGCTACGGTCTGAGATGTTCATATGATCGCTCCCACGAGTATCTATTAAGCAAAGATCGTGAAGAAATGGTTCTAGGGATCGCAAAACATAGAGTCGTGCCGAGCATAATACTTCAAGAGCTACAAAGTTGTTATTAGGCGTCATTATGTCGAATAGTTTTTGAAGTGAGCTTAAAACCATAGCAAACTGTTTCTCGATTACCGGAAACCGCTCTGAAAGCGTACAAGCATCTAAGGGTTCTAGTCTGAACCATTATTTTTTTACAGTGTGGCTCCTGTCCTGTTGGCGACAGCTATGGTCAGCCAGCTGCGGCCCGCGGTGAGTAAAAATCGGAAATGGCCCTCACAGCCAATTGAGTTGTGCACCCCTGGTCTAGAGCAAAAAAACTGCGGGAGTGAGGGGAACAAACGAGGCATCGACGGATTCGCCTTGCACTATTTTGGGGGACACAAGTACTCAGCTCGTCTAATGCGAGGAAGTTGCAGTGAAACGATGGACCAATCTTGAATCATGAAGGTCGAGATAAGGGTTTTATTTTGAAGTTATTAGGGGATGGAAAAGTAATTAGTTAAAAGGACTTAACATTGAAAGATAAACCGGCTGCTCCACTAGTGCAAAAACTATTGAACTGATTTAACACGTTGACGATCGATATTTCTGCTCAACATGGAGTTTTTTTGGTGACCACAAATACTTGTACTGGAAGTCCTGTAAAGTACTTTGGTGAAGTCCAGCTGATGAATGAGACATGTTTATTGCTTTCTAGGCACAGATGTGTGCAAATTTTGGGTACCGAAAACGGAATATATTAATATTTAGAACACTTTTCTGTTCGAATGTCGCAAGGATTTGAGCTGGGACTGGCTGTATTTTAAAGTATGAAGTACTGCACGAGTGTGAGCAAACTCAAGAACTATAATTTTCCAGCTCGTCTCTGCATACCTTTTGAGGCATCTAAAGAAGCAATTGAGGGTATTTGTGGGATGGAAATTATGAAAATAACGAAGAGCACTGACAGTGGGAGATTCCATTGGATGCCCTAGTGCAAAAAAGGGTGGAGTTGGGCACTGGGACCGGAGCGAAACTACTGAATATTTCGGTTTCCGGTTCCGGAAGAAAACGTGAAACCGCGCCCCAAAAGCGAGGAAACGAGACCAAGGGGCGTGAAGATCGCCTGGAGAGACGAAAGGGACTGGAAAGCCGGCATCGCGATGCCACCGTGTACGGGCGTGAACGCGAAGAAGCGCGAAACGTGCGAGCCGTCCGCGTTCGAACCTGACGCGAGGGTGGCAGCTTCATACTGCGATCGCAAATCTGATTCCACGATTGTGAATATGTTCATTGAACATCGTAAGGCATCCTTAACACACCGTATGCCATTTCTCGCAAACAACAGAGAGGATCCCATACATAACGTTACCTTCGTCCGAATTTCACCTCATTTCCCCCTAATCTTTACCTGAGGGGTCTTCTGACAGGTTGAGAGACGGGGGGGAAAAACTTTTTTTTTTTTTACCTCAGTTTCACCGTCCCAATCTTACCTTTGGGGAAATTTTTTTGCAAGGGATAGGAAATCCAAATGTGCTCCTACCAAACCGAAGTCATTAGCTCCTTTTTTTTTACGTGTAACATCGCCTCGTCGATATGACTTTCGGAGATTGATCCCACACGATTCTTACTCTACAGGGTATTTCGCCTTCGAGGGTTTTGAACATCTAGGCCATTAATTTTTTTTTTTAGGACTCATGGATCCAGGAGAGAAAAAGTTCTTCTAAACAAGCGAATTCTGAACAGAGCATTCCAGAATTGCATTAGGAAAACTGCAAATGCCTTTTTTTCTCTTCTGGATTGAAGACCACTGCAAGAATCGGACCCATTCGCACCTGCTTTGTACCTGTCGAATCTGTTCTAAACTTGAAGAATATTTGCTACTATTTACTGCTACAAACTCGCTATGGTCGCGCCTTCGGCGCTCTATTATCTAGGACAATGATTAAATGATTAATTCATTTTAAAAGGGGCAAAACTTACCGAAATTTTTTATTATCGAAATCATCACTCCGATGGTTTCTTGTGTGTCTAACTTCAAATCTCTTTATGTGCCCCTTTTTTTCAGAGTGGAAAATAAATCTTGAAATACTTCCCTCCCATAATCCGCCCTGGGGACTTATTTCAAAAGTAAGATTTTTTTATTTACTCAGCTATTTGTCAGGTACTTCTGCGCCAAGTTTCAACTTTCTATTGCTCTCTGTTTCCTTGGTTCAAAAAAAAAATTCGGGAAAATGAGCAAAGAGGGTGCCCTGAGGGGTTTTACTTATAAAAGTACAACTTTTCCTGAAATCAGTACTCGGATAACTACATGTCCATCAAGTTTCAACCTACTCCGTTTGCCCTTTTCGCTCGGGAAAAATATGTTTGGAAAAGCCGACCCACCCAAAAGCTATGCCATGAAGGGATGCACCACTAGAACTGAATTTTCCCTGAACTTAGCATCACGTCAGTTATGCGTGTGACGAGTTTCAACTTTCTATTTCGGCCCGATTCGCTTGGACAAAAAAAAATATTTGAAAACGTGACCCCCAAAAAATATGCCGCCAGGGGATGCATCTCAAACTTGATATTTTTCCTGAACCCAATGTCACAATATGCAAGTTCATGCTAAGTTTCGGCTTTTCATGTCTCACCATTTGACTGAAGCAAAAATATTTATTTGAAACCATCTTCCCCCAAAATGTGTGTCCCCAGGGCATGTCCCTCCTAAGTCTCCTAGTTGCACATAACATTGAATCAATGTTGATTCAATGTTATGTGCTACTAGGGTCGGATTTTTTCTGAACTCTGCATCCCAATAGGTACTTGTGTACCAAGAGTTTCAGACTTCTAACTTCTCTAGAACATGGTTAGAATTAGCGTCAGTCACTCAGTCACTTACGATAGCCTATATAGAGTATATATACAGGGTGTCCCATAAGTCCCTTTACCCTCATGTTTTGTTTTTAGGGGAATTACAGTAAGGATTTGTGAAGATGGCGGAAGATACGGGTGACAAAAACCCCTTTCATTGTCGAACGAGTGTTATTAAATGTTACAATAAATGTAAAATACATGAATAACTAATTGCATGAGCTTCATTTTCTTACCCTATTCTACTAGGAAAAGGTTCAGGAGTAAAGGAACTTATGGGACACCCTGTATATTAGATTCGATTTAACTACTAAATGCCTTTAACGTTTTGTTTTCCCTCAAAAGGATTTTGAATTGAAATAGAAATACAATACAATCGCTATTTGAAATAGAAAAATTAAAAGTAATATTTCATATTTAGAATTATTCTTTGAACGATCGAATACATTAATGCACCGATCTCTGCGACAATACTTCAATTTACCAGTAATTATCGGAAAATTAAGGAGGACGACGCTTGGATTCGGGGGAAGGAAGAAGACTCACGAAGGGCGGAGCAAAGGACCAGCGATCGGAGGATCCTCATCGTTCCCCCGCTGCGACCGGAATGACGCACTGGGGGCGGTCGTCCGATTTTTCTTTTATAGCGGCGGGGGGGGGAGGCGGATGACGCGTCGCGGAGTCAGCAGGAAGTGCACGCGCTGCAGTCGCGCGGTGCATCCACAACAGGGGAGTCGCGAAGAGGAAGCCCAGACAGGAACGGGAAGGCGCTTTGCTGCGTTCGTCGGCGGGGCAAACGGGGTCGGGGCGGGGCAAACGCTGACGGGCGCGAGAGTGGGCTAAACATGATTTCGCTGACGCGTAGGAAGTGTGAGTTGATTCGAAGTGTTGGCAAAACACTTCCACGATGAGAGTACTCGAGGATACGATCATGCACGACCGTGACCTCCCTCAGCAGCTTAGGTCTTAAATCCATAAATTTAAGGAAGTATAGGGTACATCTCCCGTCATGAACTACGTAAGTGCCAAACGGTAAGGAGTGGGAATTCTCCATTCTTAGATAATGCAAAATCGGGAGACTTCCTTTCGCCTCCGAAAGCTTCGGAACGTTCCAGGTTTCACCCGTGCCCAGGCACTTTCGGACATGTGGTATCTCACATGCGACATGTTCTCACGTGTGACATCTTCCCATATGTCACATGTGACATCTCCTTCTTTTGGCCCTCTTAGCTTTTGACTCTTAGCAAAAACTGTTAGACCGATTTGAGGGGATCTCCCCAAAGGATCTTCATTTAGTAAGGAAAAGTACTAATTTAAAAGATTCAGGCCCACTAAGAGCAAACTCTAAAAACCGAATTCGGCGAAAGAGGAACCGGTGGACTCGCTCCATGGACATTTTGGCACCATCCCGCATCGAAAAGTACAGGGTGGCCCAGGAAAAACCAGACAGAAAATGTATTGCACAGATTTACTTTAGGGCTGCACCGATGGCCACCTTTGACCAGTGGGCCAATGGCCACTTTTGGGCGATGGTCAATTTTCCTCTGACAGCCACCGGTCGGTGCCGATTTTCGTCTGAAAATTGAGAAGTAATATGAAGTTGCACATTAAAGCAAAAGGGCCTATTTGGAAGCCATGTGGTGGTAGGGCCCCCCTAAAAACGATAGAGACCATATTACCATATTTAACACTGTGTCCGTCAGTGGCTAGCTCCTTACCTATCGCTGCTGTTAGGAGCGTTTAACGACACATCTCCAGCAAAACATAGCATAAAATACAATCATTTCCCCTTTCTTTCCTAGTTCCTAGAATAGAGCTCAAATATATTTTGAACCCGATATTTTTCGGGTTCACGCGTTCGCTCTAATTTTTTCCTCGTAAGCTTCACTTATCCTTTAGGCAACTTTACGCATCGGCATCGGCGGCTTGCAAACCTGCCGATGGCGCCGATAATGCAACACCGGCGGCAGCCGATACATCGGTATAGTCCCAGTTTATATTATTTATAAGGTGAATGCATAATACATGTCATGTTTTCATTGCAGAGTCCTGAGTAAGCACGAAACAGTGGGGCAGTGCCACCATGCCCCAGTTGAGATGAGGATATTCCAGGTGGAATTTCATTTACGGTGTTACGGACATGGGTGCAAAGGGCGCAATGAGCGCAATGAGCGCAAGGAGCTCAGACCTTTGCAGAAAGATTTGGAAGGAACCACCGACAAAGCAAACATACATGGATCTAATCACGAAGTTCCACACGTAATTATGTGACGAGAGTCACACGTTGGTGGCTCTCATTGGGGTTAGGGATGTGAGCCACACCTTGCTGTGGCTCACATCCATAATCCCAATTTCGGTCTGTTTTTTTTCTTGGCCACCCTGTACGTAATACCCGAAGCGTGAAAATACTCGTCGGCTTTCGATGAATCAGGCATATTGCCTTCAGCACTTGACTGAAAAGAACTTGCAAAACGCTCAATTCCTCCTCAAACAAAACGATTTCCGGCGATTCATTCCTGCTTTTCTCGGCGTTGCATTACCATTACCTTTCTTCAACCCCATCCGACAAAATTCAACCGTCTCGTATTCCTCCCTGAGAGCATCAACAAGAACGAAATTTGGCACACTTCTTCCTCTCTCAACACAGAATCGCTCCAGCAAATTTGAAGTTCCATCTCCCCGGGGTTGCGGAGATCACTGAATCTCACTTTTCTAAGATGTCAATTTCATTCAGATATATATATTTTCCTCACTCCTGTTTTTTTTTTTTCGGAGGAAAAAAACCTACTGAACGAAAGACATTGACTTGTAGGTGACGAAAAGCAATGAATAGGGCATTTATTGCTTGCGATGCACCATTTCACCGTGAAAAATGAAATTAGCTGCCGTTAATTGAGGTCCATTCCGTGATGGAACGGTCCCGTCCCTCAGTGTTGCCGGATATCATGTCGGAGTTATCCCAGATTCATCACTTCTTTGGCCTCAGTATCGTTGTCCGGATCTTCTCTTTTTTAATATAGGAGACATCATTGCGCTGAATTAATGGGATGAGCAGAGATTGAAACGATGATTATGATCGATCGATTTGGTGGGATGCAAAGATATCTCATTCGGACAACTGTAAATTAACAGAATGGCGGTCACCTTGTATTCCATGCTTCCAGGAGGGATTTTATCCGCAGAACTCATCGAGACGGCTCGAGGAACTCTAGATAGGCTTAACGTTCCTCGTCCGCGCTGAAACGATTCGTGAAACTCGAATCAGACCTATATTCGGTCTAACGTTACACGTCCTCGACGAGATCTGGAATACCAGGGATTAACCCTTATAGGCCTACTGGCCCAGTAAGTCGAGAATTGAGTTTCTTTTGAACGAAAAAAGGTAGGCCTAGGCCTGACTTGAAGACAGTCCGTCGGTTTGGCCTGGGCCTAACGTTATAGAGTTCCGTAGAGAAGGGAGGGGGGGGGGGGGGATTTGAAGTTGAAGAAAGGTAAAGCCATTGAAAAATGGTTTGCACATCATGACATCGCATTATAAATGCAAAAATGACACATTTTGTAATTTAAACAAATTGGAAAATGACAAAAATTTCCATAAACTTTCACCGTCTTCTTTGGTCAATTTCGTTTGAGATCATCGAAACGCACGGCTGAGCATCGAGCGATCGGCCTCGAACGGGCCTCGGGCTTTCGGAGACTACGGCCTCGCGGGCTCCGCGATTTTCGCGCGGCGATTTTGGGAGAGTCATGGAGGAATACCAATGTCCTGTTCGCAAATGGAGTGCGCGCAGGGAATGCCCACGTTATTCACATGGGATTCACAAAGGATTCGCAGCAGGATGTGAACCTCTCACAGTGAACTTCTCATGTGAAGCTACGACCTTCACAAGTCCAAGCAAATAAAATATGCAGGAAACTGGAAGCGGAAAACCTTTGAAGAGAGGGCAAGAATCGTGTGGGACCAAATCGCATGAATTAATTAATGATCTAGGCGGAAAATCCCCTTCGAAGACAAAAGGAATTCAGAAGCACAGCATTCGTGCTAATTTGCTTATTATATGCTGATTAATTTTCTGAAGACCGCCTTCGTGACCTTTAAAGCTGAGGCGGGAAATGATTAAGGGCATTTGAACTGCTGTGAGAAGAAAGCTGGCACGAATGGTAGCAGCTCTATGAAATTCACTTGATGTTTCCAGAAATTTCTCGCGTCTCAGCCGAGTTGCGACCAAGTTTCTTCTCCTAATCAAGGAAAATACTTGATAAATTTACCTCTATGATTATGGCCATGAACACGGCATTACTCTAAGACCACATGGCATGATGCCATTTCTTATTTGCTGATTCAGTTCTCAAATTTTCAAGCAGTGTTACTCAGAGCACTTCACTTTTATGAGTATAATTTTTAAGGCATCACTCGAATACTAGTGTTTTTTTTTGCCAGTGGAAAAGTGCTTTTTGCAATTGCAAAATTTGATCGTAGGATAAACGAGAAAAAGGGACCAAAGCCACCAAAATCGTCACGAACGTGACTCTTTTGAGATTCCGATATATATATTCTTGCCAATGAACCGCACCAGTGGAAGGTACTACTATAAGTAATTTAAATGGTTAGAGATTTCATCAGCTGATACTCTACAAGTACTACTTACTATTACTAGTGCTACTACTACCGCTACCACTTGCGACTGCATTTCATCTAGGCTCCTCGGTCGAAATGCCAGAGCCGTAAAGCAGAGTGTAATCGTGTGGGATCGCGAAAGAATCCCTTGCGAAAAAATGAAGGCGATGCGATTCCGAGGCAAGCTGTTTGCCGTTGCTTTCCGATTTGCCATTTATTTTGCACTCGTGCCAGAGTGTTTTGCATTGCCAGGCACGTTCGTGGCGATTATGGTGGCAGTGGATTGGTCCGTTTTTTTTAGGCAGGCTACAATCACATTTTGCTGTTGCACAATGCATTTTTGCACCTGCAAAAATGCTTTTGCATTTGAATGTGCCTTAAAACTCATTCTCCTAAAAGTGAAGTGCTCTGAGAAGCACTGCTTGAAAATTTGAGAACTGAATCAGCAAATAAGAAATGGCATCATTCCATGCCGGTCGTGCAGCCATGTCATGGTCAGGGTCACGGTCATGGTCTTGGTCATGCATTGCACATTCTTCAATAAACTAAAGCCGTCGAAATATGTGGTTTCCTGTCTCAATTTCCCCAGAAAAGCAAAATCATCAAGTATTATCCCTGATTAGGAGTCATTCATGCCAAGTTTCATCTCAAAGCGGTCCAAATGCCCTTAATAATCATTTCCTGTCTCGGGTGCAAAGGTCACGAAGGCGGCCTTCAGGAAATCAATTGCCAATTAATAAGCAAATCAGCAAAAATACCTTGCTTTCGGATCCCTTTTGTCTTCGCAGGGATCATCGCGCCCCGATCATTAATTAACATAATTCGGGCGGTGTGGTCCCACACGATTTTTACTCTCTTTTCAAGGGTTTTCCACTTCCAGTTTCCTGCATTTTTTAAAAGTTATTCTTGGACTTGTGAAGGCCGTAGTTTCGCATGAGAGGTTCACTCTGGGAGATGCATGTCTTTCTCATATTTCACTGCGAATCCCATGTGAATCCTGTGCGTGCACTTCATTTCTCATGTCAGGTGGTGCAATAAGATGAAGGGAATTTCATACCACTTTTTATTTCTATACCACATTCGTCCCAATTACTCTGGCTCTTCAGATCCAATAAAACAACTGCCAGTCGTCCGACGTTTCCATCGCGCCGCTACCAATAATGATCCCCCACAATCGAAGGCGTTGAGATCATGGCTTTCAATTTCAAGACCAAAAACTTGAAACGAGATTCCTCACCCAATGGATCATTGGAGAAATGGCACTGGCCATTGCAGTGGGAACTGGAGTAAATCGAAATTCAGTCATGTCCATGAAATGTAAATTGTGCAATTAATGTCCTTGAAATGTACATTGTTCAGTAAATGTCATAAAATGCAATTTGTCAATTAAATATAAAAGATTAAATAACTTGATCAATTTTGTATGGTGTTACGCGTTGATTCCTGAATGAAATGCCAGCTGAGTAAGTGCAGAGAGAGTCAGCAGCCGGAATAAATATTTCCTTTAAGTTTTGTCCTTATAAACGAAGCCCCTGACCAATATCCCTTCCATTGAACTTTCCTGGGGTTTACGGAGAAGAATGAGTATGATGAGGACTAAAGCGTATGGGAAAGAATATCGATGACTTATAATTTTTAATCATAAAAAGTTCGCAAAAACCAATCAGGTATGAAAGAAAATATGGCATTCCAATGCCAAATCATACAATATTCGGCGGGATATGTCTGAAGGAGTCTTAAAATTCAAACTCTGGAAGTGATCTGTCTTCTTTGCCATGCCTTTTTGACCTCTTCTGTCACGTTCTCCTAAGTTAACCAAGGGAAATTTTGTATAAACTTTTAGAAACTACCCATGATGGAAACTCTTGGATTCATCTGGCAATCATTATGACTCAAGAGAACCATCAGTAAGAAGGGCAGCGTTCCAGTGTTTCCTCCACTCATCCAGTAATCCACTCATCCACTCAGATACCAGAATAAGCCTTTTCCATTTTCATTATCAAACTTATTTCAAATGATTAATGAGAGTATTTACTTGGCCAGACAGATTCGGTGAAACATATGAGAATCCGTTAGAAACATACCCACATAAGCACCATAAGAAAAACGAGTGGGAGTCGCCATCTTCGTGGCGCGCTCGACCTCCAATGCCAGACTGCATTTGCTCCTTATGTAGTGGATGTGCATCCCATCTCTACCATCTATTACAATGTCCAGGGAACACAAAATCCCTCAAAGCATGGGATAGCAGTGAATAACTGCTACCGCACATGTATGATTTTCAACCCTATCTGCTCCTTCATGATTGTCCTATTGTGATCTCTATTGACCTCTATTGTGATCTCCTTCTCTACCTCCACCTTGGTGCAATAAATAAATATTTCAAATAAGCACCATAAAAATATTTCCGAAAATAGCTCCCTAGTGAGGGAAGAAACTTGCGTTAAGACATCGAGCAGGGACAAGGAGAGAAGAAATGAATACGCGCTGATTGAGGAGGAACACTTTCGTCTGCCACCGTTTTTATCAGCTAGGCGTTCCCGCTTATTTCGGGAGGACCTAAGAGAGCAGAAGAGCGTACTTTTCCCTGAAGCAAAGAGAAGCATTTGTCCATCTCCGAGTGCCGAATGGGCAGGTGGAGAGGCATTTTTTCCTCCATGACGAAAATACCCAATAAATGAAATTCCGAAGGAAGCTAGTGACATCGGTCTCGTCAATCATCAGTTTGCAGAGTCGAAATGAATAAAAAAAAATCAAGAGCGTTATTCCATTTTCAGAAGGTGAGGTCTCAATTGTCAATGTCTACTCCCACTGCAGCTGATCCAACGGTTTCATGGGAAATTCGCCCCTTCCAAAAGACGACATCGTCACGTGTGCTGACGGGGATGTTTCCATAGAGAAGTAGCTACCGGAAAACTAAAAGTCAGCAAGGATAAGGTAAACACATAACATGTACCGTGCTGAGTCCGAATCTGATAGCAGCATCCCAGATGGGTATAAAAAGGGAGGGCAGGGAGAGGACAGCAGCTCATTTGCCCGACCAAGGAAGTCAGGAGAGATGGGCCTCAAAGCACTTGTGCTCTTCTCCCTTTGTGAGTCCCCTCTCAATCATTTCTCATCTCAATCTTTTATTATTCGTAGACGGAAGCTTTCCTTTCATACTGTTCGTCTATTCTGTTCAATGTAAAATTGAGGGTTTATTAACAAGTTGTTCTCCTCTCCTTCCCAGTGGGAGTCCTGGCAGCCGAGTACGGTAAGTCTGACTTATTCCAAACCCGTCAGGGTCGACATTCATGAATGTTTTCACGAGTTTCTTTCCATGCTTGTGATCCATTATATTTTCCAGCTTTCACGCCCGGACGTGAGTATGTGTACCTGTACCGAACCAGGGCAGTGACGGGGATCCCGGGACTCAAGCCTCAATATGCAGGTTTGGGAATCGAAGGTACCCTGCGTCTCCAGGTCGAAAGTCCCTCGGTTATGCTGGCCAAGGTATGTCCCTAGTCCCTTCCGTCCTGCTTTTACACTCCATCTCATGGGTTAGGATCCTTTCATGAAATCATTATCATACGTCGCAATGCAGCTCAGCAACCTCCGGGTGGGCACCGTGAACGGTGAGATGAGGAAGCCATGGAGGGAAGAGTTCCCCATCTCTTATTCTCCTCTGGGTGAAGCCCAGGAGCCTAACGTAGAGGGCAAGTTCTAGTAGGACTTTAGGCCTCAGCACGTTAGCGACCTTCAGAGGTTGCTCCTTGGCCTTACCTCACAGTTGTAGTTCTTCCCGTAGCGGAGAGTTAACTGCAACTTGTACCGTAAGATCGACTTGGTTCCTTCCAAGATCCACAGCAACATTCCGTATTCCAGCTCCGAATACAACCTCCTGAATACCATCACCGCTGGTACCCCAGTTCATAACTTCTACACCGTCGAGGAGGTTCGTTCCTCATCACAGTTTTTCCTTCATATGTCATACATTTTAAATATCCATTGCCTTCGTTAATTAATATAAATCTCAATTTCGAAATGGGAAACACAAATGAAGCGGTTCTTGATTTGTCACCGAACAGGACTCGATCGGAGGAGAGTGCAAGACCTCCTACACGATTGCTCCCCTGCCAGAATACTTGGCCAGGTTGGAAGAACTCTCCCTGCCTGAGGAATGGAGGAGGATCCGAACGGAAACGGAAGAGGGCAAGGCCTGGATCGTCACCAAGATCCGCAACTACAATCAATGCAACCGAAAGCCGTTCTACACCTTCAACTCCTTTATTGACCTCAGCCCGGAGCCATGCAGCATGGCTGATGCTCAGTGCAAGAGGTTCACTTCTGTGAGTTTCTAGGATCGGTCCTTCATAGAGACTTGAATCAGAGATTCCAGTTATGAAGATTTGATTCTGTTCTCTTCGAAAATAGCGCTCCTCGGTGTCGAGGTATTTGATCCGCGGGGACAGGCAGCACTTTAAGATCGAAAGGGTGTGGACTGAGGGAGAACTCCTTGTGAGGCCCTTCGCCACTAAGACCGAGAAACTCTGGGTTGTGACGAAGTGAGTTGAACCCGACAAGCAGTAAAACTCGGGACTTGAGTTTGTCCTACCTGGAGTTGGGTCTCAATTGACAATTCCTTTGCAGCCAAACCTTGGTATTGGAGAAGACGTCGTCCATCAGTTCCCGAATCCCAACTCCTCCATCACCTCGTCCTACTTCCCTGCTGTTCACCTTCCCTAACTCCCGATATGAAATCATGAAGGAGTTGAACGGAGAACTCACCAACCCCAACTCCAACGCTGAATCCTACATGCGATCCCCTTACGAGAGGGAATACGAGTACAGTCGAGAGCCCGTGTACAACAGGAGGTTCGAGAGGAACGTCGAGAAGAAGGCCTACTACGGATCCAAGTACGGATCAAACGAGGACCGCGAGTACGAATCTAAGGAAACTTACGGATCCAAGTATAGACCCAATTATGAATCCAATTCTGAATCCAAGTATGGATCCAAGTATGGTTCCAAGAGGCCCTACCCCAAGTCATACGAAGGAGAATACGAAAGCGAATACCCCTACCGAAAGGAGAACAGTTACAGGGAAGATACCTCGTCTGAGGACTATCCGGAGAGATACAGGAAGGAATACCGGGAAAAGTACGGCCGCGAATACGCTGAGGAATACTCCCGAGAGTACGAGTCCCTTGGCCGATACAACTACACCGAGGAGGAATACATCGATGAACCCCACTGGTACAACCCTCACAGCTACATCTTCTACAACTACTCCAGCAGCTCATCCGCCGAACCCGAGATCGAAAAGATCAAGTCTCAGGTAAGGATTAGTGTGTGGATTTTTACCCTCAACCATTGGAAGTTTAAGAGTTCCAGAGATCATTGAATGAAATTCTTGTATTCCGGGAATCCAGATCAAGCACCTCTTGATCGAAGTCGAGACCGAAATCGAGACCTTCCAGGATCTTGCTGCCAAGGATACGTCTCTGAAGATCCTCCAGGTCTCCAGGGCTCTTAGCCTCTTGCCCTACAGGGAAGTTAAGGAACTGTACGAAGAACTCATCAGCTCCGCTCCTATTGTCAGCCCCTATTCCAAGAAGACCATCAAGTGAGTTTCTGTTCACCTCTCATCAGCTTCGAAGAACACTGGAATAACTGCAAACTCCTTTTTCACTTCATTTTCTTATCATATTTTTTAGGACCCTGTTTTTGGATGCCGTTGCCATGAGTGGTACTAGCCCAGCTGTGAAACTGATCAAGGAATTGATCCTGAGGAGAGAAGTGACTGGCGAAATGGCTGCCCAGCTCATCATGGTCTTCCCCGCCACCATCAAGGTCCCTACTGTCAGCATCCTCAAGGAACTCATCGTTAGTCCTTCCGCTCTTCTCGCCATTCCTTCCAGAAAATATTCATCGTATTCCTCTTCTCACGTTTTAATTTTCCGCACATCCCTCTTTTCTCATATTCCCACACTCAGAGTCTGGCCAAGAGCCCCGTGATCAAGCCCCATTCTCAGCCTCACGAGAACAGACAGGTATACGTGACTGCCCTTTTGGCTGTGAGCAATCTGATCAACAAGGCCTGCGTGAACCCCAAGACCCGAATCTTCAACTACCCCATCACTCGCAAGGGTCTTCCCATCTCTTCTGCCCGATTCTGCTCTCCTGACAGCCCACTCATCACCGAGGTTTGGCTCCCATTCCTCGAACAAGAGCTCCGCAACGCTGCCGAACCGAAGATGCAGGTCCGTCATTCGAATCCTCACCTTGAAATTGTTCCAGTCAGAAACAAAGAAACCATTTTCATTGTATTATTGGTGCTGTTGTGTCTCCTCTCCAGATCCCTGTCCTTAAGGCCTTGGGCAACACCGGTCACCCATTCGTTCTCAGGATCCTGAAGCCTTACATCTATGGCTCTGTCACTCCCGATGTGGTTGTCAGGAGCAAGTCCATCTATGCTGCCATGATGCTCGCCAAGAAGTACCCCAGCCTTGTTCGTATACTTTCCTGCTGAACTATTTCCCATTTTCGATTCGGAACAAGAAGGTAAAATACAACTGTGATATGTTGCTGCAGGTCTTCTCCCTGATGAAGCCCATCTTCCACAACCCGAGCGAACATTACGCCGTGAGGATTCCCGCTTTCTACACCCTGATGAAGTGCCACCCACCAGCAGCTTTCTTCACTGCCGTCGCCACCGGTACCTGGTTTGAACCCTCTCAGCAAGTCGGTTCCTTCGTCTACTCCACTCTCGCCAGCCTGGCCAACTCTTCTTACCCCATCCATGGCAATATGTGAGAGGTCGTCCATGCGTCGAAATCGATTCGAATGAATTAACGACTGATCTAGCTACATTTTTGCCTTACAGCTCTCGCTTCGCCGAGATGGCTGTCGTTCTGGCCAAGCCCTACGATCTTGGAATCCAGTATTCCCACAACATCTACAACACCTGGTTCTTGAGGGAATGGGAGATGGGAACCTTCCTGGAGACTGCCTGGGTTGGATCCAACAAGTCTCTCTTCCCAAGGGACTTCTACGTCAAGGTCAACAAGCATATGGGAGGATTCGAGACCATGCCCTTCGAAGTGAGTGTTTCTCGATTCCTCAAATGCCTGCATGTGGGTTCTAGGAATCGTCGATACATTTCCCATGTACGTTTTTCGCAGTTTGACATTCACTCTGAAGGCATTCAGAAGGTCTTCAACAAGGTTTTCGGACCCATGGGACGATACTACGAGAGTGAATCCATGTTCGATATGTTCTCCAGAATCAAGAGAAGCATCAGCAGGTCTGAGAATGCGCTATTATTACCTAATGGAGAGATTCCGCATGGGAAATGTCGAAATAATTATTGTATTTTCCTGAATATTGCATCGTAGTGAGTTCAGCATTAATGAGCTCAGAAACCTGTTGCCCCTGGAAACAAGGAAGGATGATCCATTCCTGACCACCATTCGAATCAAGCTCATGAACACCATGGAGAGGATCTTCACCTTCGACAGGAACACCATCACCCATCTCATGGAGGAAGGTAACCGGCCGCATTCAGATCAATAATCCAAAATCGGCGTCTGCATGGACAATGCACCGTTGAATATTGCATTCTTTTGCAGGTACGATCCGACTGAACTCTCCGGGCGAGTACGGCATCAACTACCAGAAGGTCATCCCTCTCGATCAGTCCACTGTCGTCCTCCCCAGTGCGATGGGTCTTCCCATCATGTTCACTCTTAGGACCCCAGTCCTTATCTCTCTGAGAGGTACCGTGAAGCTCGAAATCTCTCCTTCCATCTTCCGTGCTGAACGATCGGGTGCCCCGACTCACGTCCGCGTTTACGCCGATGTTAAGCCAATGTAAGACACAGTTACATCTCACACTTTAAAGAAGTTCCCAACACGAGCTGACCAGTCTTGCATTGTTATCATGCAGGATAAGCTACAACAATTTGGTCGAGACTGTGATTGTTTGCCCTATGACGACCAAGGCCCTCATCAGTGGTGTGAATACCCACGTTCTGGTGTCTCTCCCCGTCAAGGCGAACGCCGTCTACGACATCCCCGAGGGCAAGTTCAAGATCGAGGTCGGTATCAAACATATCCACTCCCAGTCACCTCGTAATAGGAACTTTTGTGCTGAGAAATTCTTTACCTTTTTCCTGGTTTAGCTCGAGAGGCCAACTCATGGACCACTCCCATCTGAGATCGACATCTTCCACATCCACAGCAAGCCATTCACTGCCGTCAAGCCACTGCTTAACTTCACGCCCGTCACCCTCTACTCTGGTACTAAGATGATCCACACTCAACATGCTCCTAAAGTTGTAAGTTCGCTTCCATTCATTCAGCGGGGACAAGATGCAACGGTACCGGGGTCATCATTTACGGTTGTTGAATATTCTACAGATGGAGACTAGGTTCGGACAGAAGTCTCTTGGTCTTCCACTCCGATTCGTGCAGAAGATCGATCGCCCATTCATTGGTATCCCGGGCATCTACAACGTCATCCACAACTTCAACTGGCTCACCCTGATTGAATACGTGCTCATGCCCACTACTCTGAAGCAGTATGAATACAAACTCCTTTTCGAGAGGAACGTCGCCGAGACCAGCAAGATCGTTGCTCACCTCAGCTACGGTGATTTTTCAGCTGTTATATATAATCCAACCGCTCATTTTCCACTCATTAGAAATACCTATGAGAAAACGATCTTCCATATTCAACAGACACCAACGACAAGGCATACAAGACCTTCAGCCACGAGCCCGAGATGGAATTCGAGAGGATCAAGTACAAATACCCATCCAAGTACTACAACAAGTACTCCGAAGACATTCAAGAGTACTTCAACAACCCATGGTCCAAACTGGCTGAATGCCAGGATCCAGAATCTCCTTGCTACACTTCCTACGACTCCATCAGGAGCCTGAGATCCAGGGAATACTACACTCCTCTGAAATACGAAGACATGGACGTTGAGAGTGAGTGAAGTCAACTTCGTCTCATTCTTTTACGGCCGAGTTTCAGGAATTCGACATGATGAAACTGAATGCAAACCCTATCCACCTTTCCAAGTAGTCGAGGTGCGACTCCAACTTGACCAGCCAGCTCAGGGCTCCTCTATATCCCGTAGGCAGTAGATGCGGTGGAGGTTCTGGTTGTAGGCGCTCTTCAACTCGCAACTGATGGAGAGAGAACCCCTCCCAGGATACGAATCCACTCCTTACAAGATCTGCATCAATTCCAAGTTCCAATATCCCAACCTCCCACCAAGCACCGAGAGACAGGCCCTGCTCCAATCCGAAATGACCACTCTTGGTAACCTCCACTTCCGATTCGGCGAGGAATGCCAACATGCCATCAACACCAGGGTGAGTCCGCCGCCCGGCGAATACCAAGATCACGTTCCGAGTCGAGTCCTTAAGAAAAACGTCGAATGAGACGCTCATTCGTCAATTCCGATTGCAGATCGTGATGACGAGGACCGAGAGGCAGAGAATCCGTGCCGAAGAAAGCTATGAGAGCCATCGCTGCAGGGAAGACGAGAGCCGAGGAATCAAGTACACGGGGCACACGTTCTTCCGGGCTTAGGTCCGGTGGTGGGAGTTGTCGATGTAGGACCTATAGTGGCTCCTCTTGCAAGGGAAGATGCAGTTCTTGAAGTGAAGAGTGCACCTACTGAAGTAGTTCATCATGCTGTACCCACACATGACGAACCGAAGAGTGGGCGTTACTAACCCCAGCAACAAGGTGAAGGTCGTCTTCAAGGTCTTCCCTCCCGCATCTTCTCACCCATACCCCGTCTTGGACATCTTCCTTCTCAAACCCCGCGAGAACACCTACTTCAAGACCATCAAGGTCTCCCCTGCTGCTAATATTGTATTCCCTCTGAGTGCCAAGCAGGAACTGGTCAAGAAGACCCTCAACCGAATCTTCGGCCTGACCTATATTCGTAAGGATGCTTTTGACAGACAAATGATTCGCTCATCTTTCTCCATTGTCCTTAATTGTGGTCTCCTTCGTGACGACAGCCGAGTGCAAGCTGGAAAGCGAGTTCGTGAGGACTTTCGATAACGTGACCTACAAGTACCCTCTGGGTGAGTGCTGGCATCTCCTTGCTAAGGATTGCTCCAAGGAGGCTCCAGTCGCTGTCCTGGCTAAGGAATCTTCCTCCTCCGGCAAGGTGGGTCATTGTAGTGGCGTCTGTCTCTCCTTCGAACGTGGAAGTGACAAATGGGATTCATGGAAATTGTTATGCTTTTCTCCATGACATCACAGGTGATTAAGGTTCTGGTAGGACCCCACAAGGTGCTCATCAGGCCAGTGTCTCGCGTCTCCGCTGTCTCTGGTTCCGTGCCAGAAATCCAAGTCCTTCTTGACGGACAACCGATCCATCTCTCCCCCACGGAGAAGAAGGTCATCAAGAGTCCCGAGACTCCTTACAAGAAGATCCTGGAATTCATCAAGTACAAGAACCACGAAATCGAAGTCGAATCTCCTCTCTATGGAGTCAAGGTCGTGACTGACGGCGAGAGGATCAAGGTCGAGGTGGGTTTTTCCACATTCTTACTCTATTGAACGACACCTTCATGTTTGTAGAGAACTTTTGAAGGAGGAAAAGGATATCTCTATAGGTGTCTAACATCTACCGAGGCCGAATGTGTGGTCTTTGCGGTGACTTCAACGGAGAGAAGGTTGCCGAATTCAAGACGCCTAGGGACTGCGTGATGGTTCACCCAATGGCCTTCGCTCAGACCTATGCCATCAAGGAAGGTGGATGCAGTGTCCATTCCCACGTGAAGCACATCATTCCGGAAGAGCACAAGTGCCTGAGTGCAAACACCTATCACCCCATGGGAAGCTATCACGAGGTGGAACGCCAGGAATATTCTGAATCCTCTTCCTCTTGCACCCGATACATGACCAAGGTCGTGCCCCGAGGAGAGGAGACTTGCTTCTCCGTCAAGCCCGTGCCCGAGTGCTCTCTCTCGTGCAGGCCCTCTAACATCATCACCAAGGAGGTAGGTCCATTAACTCGACTCCGCGATGGTCTCCTTGCTGGATGTGAAATATGATTCTCTTCTTTGTTTCCAAACTCTAGCCAAAGGTGACGCACTCGGCACCAGCGTAGCGGTTGCTCGACTACCCGGCACGGGCGATACCATAGAACCTTCTCTACGACTGCTTTAGGTAGCTGAAGTGGCGGTTCCAGCGGTAGGTGCTGTCTTGCCAGAGCATCGAAGCTTAATTGCTTCCAGCAACTTCTACTCACCCTTTTATTTCTTTACTTTTCTTCGGTCTCGTCTCTGGAAAACATGTCTCCTCCTTTGTCTTTCCTGCATTTGTCAGCAATAAATATCTGCTGACCCTTATATCTGGTTGCTTTATCTGAGTCCTCCCGGTCCCAATCCCAGGATTCGCGTCACTCGAAGAAATCGAAATGGGTTCAAGTACACTGATATGAATTATCGGGTTGAAAGTTCTCGAATATGGGAACTCCATACGCGGTTTTCAGCAAAGTTTAAGAAAGATATGGTAAAATTCCCCCGCCCCTTTTTGTCCTGTTTCCAGTAATGAACATTTTAATAACCGAGCGTATTATGCATCCCCTTTAGTGACATTGGCTACCCTCACGCAAGAAAATATGTCGTTCATGGGTGTGCATGCTATGTATGCTCGGTTCTTTGGTATTGTGTAAAGCTCATAAGCGGCTTAACACCTTAACACCTTTACACCTAGGTCTAGCTTCGATCCAATTTTACGATCGGGTAACGGATATTTCCAAGTACATCAAGGCTGATGATTTGTACTCCTATTTCGCTGAAGTGGTTGAAAATTCGACGCAAGGGATTGTTTTCGATGATCTGGTATTTAGTGATTAAAATGATGTTTTCTGTTTCATGAGAGTGTACAGGAACGGACACAGGAATTTATGGTGTCTTCCACTTTCATCTACGAGACTTAATTGATAGGTAGATACTAAATTCTCCCCTTTATCTCATCTCGATAAACAGTGGCGCGAGTGCACAGTGCGCGAGTGACTTTCCAAACGTTGATTTTTTCGCTACTTGATAACCACGTCTGCCTCATCCTTCCGAAAGGGGAGGTAACTCCCAGTTTCACTTTCCCACCCTATGTATGATAGATACTGAAATTGACTCTGAGATGATAGGAATTATAGTCCCTCATGGATTCAGAAATCCTTGTTTTTATGAAGAATCTTATGTTGTTGTCAAATGATGATGGTGTAAAATGCACTAATTAGAAAGTCATACAGATAAATAAAAAAAACTTGCATCTAAACGAACTGCCTCCGAAGGAACAGATGGTCTAACCAAAGGACAGCACATAATACAGAGCTGTGACATTTCTTAACGATTTTTTTCGTTTGTCCGAAATAGATGCATAGATTCTGGAGATGGTCAATCTAAGCCTCCCAGTCCCAGTATTTCTTTTTCTTCCATATCCTGGTACCCACAGTCTCTAGCATGACCAGCTGCGATTCTATGTGCTATTTTTCCTTCTAAATCAAAGCCACGAGTTCAAAAATATTTAAGCGGCTCTTCTGGGCATATATCAGAATCCGTCTTACACAGGGAGGGATTGCGAAACTAAGAGTTGACCTTGCCCCCCCTTGATTGAAATATTGAGGTAGATATGGCTATCAGTCATGAAAATCAGGCGTGGAAAGGCGCTCCTGAGTACTTGCGCCCCAACCGTGTGTAGATCAAAGATGAAATCACATCTTGTGATTCTTGTCAATCGGAATGCGGGGGCGAGATTCCACTGGAGCGAAAGTGGAAGTAATCGGAATTTAACAGGAAAAAAGTGCTTATTAATTAAGAAACCTAAGCATTAAAGTTTTTAGCGGGTTACCTCTGGTATCGATTCTCGATCCATTTCTTAATTCGTAATTATTAATTATTCGTAATGATAATGGCTTCGAGAACTGTTGGATTGTTCAATATTATAGCCAATAAGTTTGCAAATAATACTGAGAAGGCCAATTGAGATAGAAAATTAAGGAGAGAGAAGCGAGGACTTCCTCCTGGTAATAAGTGGTTAATTTGGCTCAACGAAAGCAAATGTAAAGAATATTTTTTCTCTTTGTGTATAAAAATGGAAAAACTTTCAACAGCTTTTGTGAGTGTGATTTGCTAAATGAGGGGATGGAGAGGGACTCTAGAGTCGCAGTTGATGAGTCCATTAGCTCCACAAAAACGCAAGAGTCACTTCTCGTGAGATTTCTGCGGAGCAGTTTCGCGAGCAAAAACAAAGCAGTCCAGGCGGTTTGCACATCAGGGAACATCACAGTCTACTTTGTTACATTTTCCCCCCAAGAGATTCTCGAAGAGTGGCTTGGTGATTAGACTGAAAAGAGGGTTTATAAAAAAGGATGGGAAGAGATCTAAGTAAATGGCCCCCCCCCCCCCGATGTCAGTGGAAGCAAATGGAAACTTGAACGAACTCTTTTCACATTGACAAACCGTCGCAACATTCGAATCGAGGGAGATGAGAGTCCTGGAGTTCGAAAAAACGTTCAAATTTTCTGTCTGGTGCGTCCGATCACAATAAGTACTTTAGATCGAAGGAACCGTGAACCAGGTGAACCATCGCGACACGGCCGAGCACGTATTCACCCACGAATCATGCCAAAGGAGCGTTTCTTTGAGCGATCGCCCAACGAGATAGGGCAAGGCAGCGTCCTCAACCGAATGCGAACACAGATTCCGGACAAAATCGTCGGAAGAGGACCTCGACCTCCTTCCTCCCAGGATACGACTGCATCTGCCTCTTTTGACCCTTTCGTCACGGCTCAACCATTCGCGTTTGCGATACGGCTGCCTGAAAACTACTTAGTCAAGCCAAAGTAAGTAGTTTTTTTTTTCCTCTGATCATTTTGAGGTAAAATGTTAAAAATTTTTTAAATCCACCAGTGGCGGCTCGTGGGTAAAAAAAATTGGTAGGCAGCAGTGGTGCAAAAAAAAAAGTGGGAGGGGGCGGAGGTCACCCCCCAATGATTCCTTTGCACCCATATGATCCCCATTTCTATCCCTACTGACCAATCGAGCGTCCTCCTAGGATAGTAACAGGCACATTCACTCCTCTCTCAACCTCGCTCAGCATCCCCTCCCCCACCCACCACTCTCCAGTCTATTCTGAGGGTCACCCCCCACCCCTTGGCTACAGGCTTGGTTTTGGATTTTTGCATTTAAAAATTGTAAATCTAATTCTAACATAATCATAACTATCCATCAAGGAAATTACTTGCATCTAAAAGGAAAAGTGACGAAGATTTAAACCTTCAATGAATGCAACTATATCGTTAGAAGACACCCCAGGGATGCGAAGAACTGTCTGTCTAACAACACATATCACTTGGTAACAGTGCCTCTTCCAGAGAAAGCAACGAATGCGAGGTAGGAATAGGGAACTGAGACTGACAGAAGCCTGTTCGGAATGATTCCTTATTCAGTCTGCATAATACTGTAAAATAGGTCTGATCAGGTGTGACAACAACAGAGGCTTCTACAAGCACGTGCTTCTGAGCAGGGGAGCGTGAGCAAGCAATTCTCAACCTTCATTCCTGCGCAAGGAGTAACCGCACCGTAGGCAAGCCTACAACAAGATATATAGAGCCTACAAGCCTTGCACCCACGCTCATTCCAGTGTTGTGGTTCTCTTCCCTTTCTCCCTCCTCTCCTTCCTGCATTGGACTCTTGGGAATTCGAGCCTAGCCAGCGTAGGCAGGCAGCGCCGTGCCTACTCTGGACGCATCATCTCGTTTTGCTTTTACCTCGCTGGAAAAAAAAGTATTTCCAGCTGTGCTAATCGAAGAATTAATTAGCAAATATTAATTTGAGAACTCTGATTTTAAACTGGGTAGGCACTGCCTACCCTGCCTACCCTGACGAGCCGCCACTGAAATCCACCCATCCAAAGCACAGAATTGATTTTTTTTGTATTATGCTGCGAAAACCCGACCTAGTAGTTCCGAACTTAAATTTAAAAATCTGACCTTGAAAAGGATAAATGTGTATGCGAAGACCCAAGTTTACAAAGAAAAGTTTGAAACCCCTTGAGTTGCATCGACATCGTGCAGAATGACCCCAGAGAAATTGATGTCGCCCATACTCCTGTAGTGACATACGGGTGGGAGATTTGGTACTGGTTTATTTTCCCCAGGTTAAACCTGGCAGAGCGGCTAAATTAGCTCGCCGATGGATCGGTCCTTATCGAGTCCTAAAACAGGTAAGTCCGGTCAAT